TTTTTTTCTGCGCAAACCATAAATTTTCTGCTCAAATATTTTGGGCTAGAAAATAATATTTTGAATTTGGGAACATGTGTATTCGGCTAATTTATGGAGATGAGCTAAATAACTTCACCGGAGTATTCTCTGATTTATAAGCTCATTTTCTGCGTTGACAAAATTGAGAAAATCGCTCATTTCCCGGGGGAGCCAATGAGCTGGAAAATGGGGGGACCGGGGGTCATCGGATCGGCTTACTATGAGGTCCAAAATTATGAGCTTTTTACATGCTTTTTTTCTGCGCAAACCATAAATTTTCTGCTCAAATATTTTGGGCTAGAAAATAATATTTTGAATTTGGGAACATGTGTATTCGGCTAATTTATGGAGATGAGCTAAATAACTTCACCGGAGTATTCTCTGATTTATAAGCTCATTTTCTGCGTTGACAAAATTGAGAAAATCGCTCATTTCCCGGGGGAGCCAATGAGCTGGAAAATGGGGGGACCGGGGGTCATCGGATCGGCTTACTATGAGGTCCAAAATTATGAGCTTTTTACATGCTTTTTTTCTGCGCAAACCATAAATTTTCTGCTCAAATATTTTGGGCTAGAAAATAATATTTTGAATTTGGGAACATGTGTATTCGGCCAATTTATGGAGATGAGCTAAAAAACTTTATCAGAGTATTCTGATTTATAAGCTCATTTTCTGCGTTGACGAAATTGGGAAAATCGCTCATTTCCCGGGGGAGCCATATGAGCTGGAAAATGGGGGGAGCCGGGGGTCATCGGATCGGCTTACTATGAGGTCCGAAATTATGAGCTTTTTACATGCTTTTTATCTGCGCACATCAAAAAAATTCTGCTCGAGTATTTTGGGCTAGAAATCTTCAGAATTTTTCAGCCTATGTAATGGCTCAATTCATGGCGATGGGCTAAATAATTCTATCGACGTATTGCCTTATTTATAAGCTAATTCTCTGCTTTGAGAAAAACATTAAAATCCCTATCTTTCCGGGAAAACTGGCGTGGACTGGGGAGTGAGTATATCCAAGCAAAAAAAATTTCCAGATATTTTGCGCAAAAAAAATTTCTCTATTTTCTATAAGTTCCACGTAGTCCACCATGAATACTAATGATAAGAAATCGGAAGAAGTACCAGAATCAATCATTTCCGCCAGACAAGTTACTAGGCGTACTATACGAGATTTTGCAGCCCCCATTTTCCAGCTCATCTTGGCTCCCCCGGGAAATGAGCGATTTTCCCAATTTCGTCAACGCAGAAAATGAGCTTATAAATCAGAATACTCTGATGAAGTTTTTTAGCTCATCTCCATAAATTGGCCGAATACACATGTTCCCAAATTCAAAATATTATTTTCTAGCCCAAAATATTTGAGCAGAAAATTTATGGTTTGCGCAGAAAAAAAGCATGTAAAAAGCTCATAATTTTGGACCTCATAGTAAGCCGATCCGATGACCCCCGGTCCCCCCATTTTCCAGCTCATTGGCTCCCCCGGGAAATGAGCGATTTTCTCAATTTTGTCAACGCAGAAAATGAGCTTATAAATCAGAGAATACTCCGGTGAAGTTATTTAGCTCATCTCCATAAATTAGCCGAATACACATGTTCCCAAATTCAAAATATTATTTTCTAGCCCAAAATATTTAAGCAGAAAATTTATGGTTTGCGCAGAAAAAAAGCATGTAAAAAGCTCATAATTTAGGACCTCATAATAAGCCGATCCGATGACCTCCGGTCCCCTCATTTTCCAGCTCATATTGGCTCTCCCGGAAAATGAGCGATTTTCCCAATTTTTCCAACGCAGAAAATGAGCTTATAAATCAGATAACTCGTGAGTCCCGTTTTTCGACCCATTCCTATGAATTGGCCGCCTAGCTTGATGCCCAAATCGTGAAAATCGATTTTTCGCCGAAAATATTTGAGCAGAAAATTTTTGGTTCGCGCAGAAAAAAAGCATGTAAAAAGCTCATAATTTTGGACCTCATAGTAAGCCGATCCGATGACCCCCGGTCCCCCCATTTTCCAGCTCATTGGCTCCCCCGGGAAATGAGCGATTTTCTCAATTTTGTCAACGCAGAAAATGAGCTTATAAATCAGAGAATACTCCGGTGAAGTTATTTAGCTCATCTCCATAAATTAGCCGAATACACATGTTCCCAAATTCAAAATATTATTTTCTAGCCCAAAATATTTGAGCAGAAAATTTATGGTTTGCGCAGAAAAAAAGCATGTAAAAAGCTCATAATTTAGGACCTCATAATAAGCCGATCCGATGACCTCCGGTCCCCTCATTTTCCAGCGCACATTGGCTCTCCCGGAAAATGAGCGATTTTCCCAATTTTTCCAACGCAGAAAATGAGCTTATAAATCAGATAACTCGTGAGTCCCGTTTTTCGACCCATTCCTATGAATTGGCCGCCTAGCTTGATGCCCAAATCGTGAAAATCGATTTTTCGCCGAAAATATTTGAGCAGAAAATTTTTGGTTCGCGCAGAAAAAAAGCATGTAAAAAGCTCATAATTTTGGACTTCATAGTAAGCCGATCCGATGACCCCCGGTCCCCCCATTTTCCAGCTCATTGGCTCCCCCGGGAAATGAGCGATTTTCTCAATTTTGTCAACGCAGAAAATGAGCTTATAAATCAGAGAATACTCCGGTGAAGTTATTTAGCTCATCTCCATAAATTAGCCGAATACACATGTTCCCAAATTCAAAATATTATTTTCTAGCCCAAAATATTTAAGCAGAAAATTTATGGTTTGCGCAGAAAAAAAGCATGTAAAAAGCTCATAATTTAGGACCTCATAATAAGCCGATCCGATGACCTCCGGTCCCCTCATTTTCCAGCTCATATTGGCTCTCCCGGAAAATGAGCGATTTTCCCAATTTTTCCAACGCAGAAAATGAGCTTATAAATCAGATAACTCGTGAGTCCCGTTTTTCGACCCATTCCTATGAATTGGCCGCCTAGCTTGATGCCCAAATCGTGAAAATCGATTTTTCGCCGAAAATATTTGAGCAGAAAATTTTTGGTTCGCGCAGAAAAAAGCATGTAAAAAGCTCATAATTTTGAGCTATTGACCGACTCATTCTGAGTACCCTGGCCGCCCAGCTTGACGGAGCTGCAATACTCGGGAGGAGAATGAACACTGGCAGAGTCGAAAGACTCTCCAGAAGGTCTTGAGTTTAATTCATTATGAGAAGTTATGCCGTAAGGTATAATACACGACTTGCAAAGGCTTGTGAGGATGTGGTGGTAATACTCCTGGTGGACCTCGCCCACTCTACCGTATCACGCTGATGTTAACTAGGTAACCCATTGTCCAACCAAAAAGTCCTCTGAGTGGACGAGTTTGCCTTAGAGGCCGGTTTTCGTCGAATCTCCCGTGAAGGTTCGGCTGGCGCCCGATTATTGAGCGATACAGAAGGCTTAAAAAGTAGTTTGGATTTTTCCTGGGTGAACAACCCGGGAAAATATCCTTACACCAGATTCATTGAGTAAACGTCGTGCTCTCTTCTAGGTTACGATTGTGGACACATACAATCATACGTACATAAATAATTAATTCGGAGGAAAAATGCTCGAAAATAAATTACTTTTACTTTATCATCTGATTTCTTGTTTATATGAAAAAAATATCACGTCAGTATAAATGGTCATTCGAAATTTCCCGCTAGTTTGCCTGTCGATGGCGGCACCAATCAGAAATCGTCTCAACATCCGCGAATCTCTTACTAGAATATCTCTAGCATTCCACATCTTCTCACGCCATAAGATATTGTTGGATTGGATTTCAGAGTAGGTGGGAAAGGAACCAGGAAAATTCTCGATATTAGCTTTCGTCTTATAAAAGTTGTTGGACTTGGTGAGACGAATACAATGGTATCATACATGAAGTATTTTTTCATGTTTTTGGGCTATTCCAAGAAAATGAATAAGTTGTACTATGATCTATCAAATCGAGCACTAATGGGCCCATTTTGATATGAAAGTCCGCCTCGGTAAAGAAAGTTGAATGAGTTTAGAATGTTTTTGTCAACAAAGGATTATTTTTGTCTTGGTTGTGAAATGATGAGCCTTTTCAGATCGCGTAAATTCATCAGTATTATTCAGTACAGAGTGAGTGTGTGATCATGCATTATTCGGGGATTGAAATCAAAGACACACACACGCGTTGGGACTTTTGTTTCATTGTTCTCAATTTTTTGTAATATTAGCCCAAGAACATAAAAAAATACTTCATGCGTCACCCTTGTATTTGTCTCGCCGCGGACAACTTTTGAGAGACGAAAATTATTGGTGCCATTAAAAAAATGAACTTATGCTTGTAGCATAGAAACATAAATACTTATGCTCAAAATATGCTTCTTATTACTTTTCCCCCTTCAAGCACTATAACTTTGGTCTGAAACATTTTCGCGTTTAACTACTTTTTAGCTAATTATTTAACCGTACAAATCATCTTGGAACACACTGTATATTATAAAATTACTAGACTACCGAATCTATCTAAATGTCTTGATAATATACATACTAAAATTTTTCAAACTTTTCTATCTTATAACCAAAATACTCAAAATATAATAAGAAACGACGTCAGGTCGGAGATACGCCCCTTTAGTTCCACATCGACAATATTCCTGATTCATCAGCAATAGCTCTATTCACTCATAAACAATAATCCACTCGGTTTCGTTAGAAGACTTATTTGAGAACATGTCTTTATGAGACAAGTGAAAAAAGGGGCACTTTTTTGTATGCTTCGTGCGCAAAAAACTGTCTTTTTCTCATCAGTATCATAAAATATCGCACGATACATATGAAAAAATGTTATTCCTGACAAATGTGATTAGAGACCTTCGCCTCATGTTCAACTACTTTTTTCCACTTGTATCGTAATATATCATTTTCTCAGTATAGAATGAAAAAAAAACTCATTCGTTAAAGAATATATAATCACGGGTGAATAACTTTGAATTTTTATGTGCAGCTTTCCGTAATGGATAAAAAACTCGATCAACTGGTGTACGTATTAAACGCAGTGGCCCAAAAACAACAAATACCATTGAGAAGCATCGAGGACGACGTGTAACAGAGCGCCCCCAATGAATTTATACATGCAATATGTCATCATACTCAACCTCGATTAACCATAACCACAGTTGTACCAGAAATGCTCAGCAGAGCTCATTGAATGCTCTCAGGCTATACAAACAAATTGGGCTGGGTGGAATCTGTGGTATAGTTAACTTGAAAACGCCATAAAACGCTCCATGCTCGCTCGAATTGCCGATAAACGCATGATCTCTCAATCGCGCCGATGAATTCCTTTGATTTTTTTTTAAAGCTTCACGATAACGAAGTAGTTGAATTCTTGAGAGATGGCTGATACGCACAGAACAAGATGCAACAACCAATAATCAAGAGATGGAGAATAATTCACGTACAAACCACAATGATTTTCCATCGAAAATAGGATGGACTGTTTCCACGATAAATTGATCATCCACCTTTCACTCAATATGAATGAATCAATATATTTCGACTATAATACGATCTTATCGCACAGTATTGGAGAGTTGATGCTCTCTATCAGTAATGAGAAAATGGGAACCATAGAGAAGATATTTTAGCAATAAATTTTTAAAATTGATCGATAATGTTATCGGGAAACGTCGGTCCAATGGAGTCCTAGAGATTTATTTTCTTTTCCATTTTCACTGCTCGTGTGAACCCAATTAATTAAGCTAATTGAATACGAGTTGAACAAATATTGTAAATACATTAATTGAACGAAATAATACCGGTGAATTATAATTAGAGCGAGCTTCGTAGGAGAATACGATCGACCGTATTTTCAACGATAAAGTAATAAATAGATGATTAAACTGCAGTTTGTAGGGTCCAAAATGAATGTAAACGGTGGGAAAACGATTAGCTATGAATGTGGGATAATTTACAAGTGCACGGTGAAATGAATCATGAAAGTTATTCAGTGAAATTAGTATGGATCCCAATTGAATGGACAAATGAGTGGATGGGAGCGCTGTGCATGCACCATAATATGGATAACGTAATCGTAGAATGCATCGCTGCAAATTCATTTCAGTGCATATTCCGGACGGATAAACGAACAATTGACCGAGCATATGAGGGAGATACTGATACAAGCGTGTATTTTTTTTTCCAATGGTAGAGGCAGGAATTTTACTCTTATAAAATAAATAACAGTGCTTTGAGCCTACAATTGCATCTTTTGCACATTCTATGGTGCCTCTCATTCTACTTCACTATGAGATATTTGAATTAGATAGATGACATTAAGCGAGTAACAATAAATAAATTGCTGAGAGTTGTAATTATCTTGATAATGAGTAATAAGTTGTTGACAATTACTCACAACTTATGCTTGTGAATTTCCTTAGCACCGATAACAAAATCAGCGATTATTGATTTTAGACAATTGTCATTTTTATATTGTAAGGTAAATATTTCATAGTTTCAGGAAGCTTCACAAATTGAATATTCTGCATTTTTTTATACTAATACGCTTGTTTTGATTATTCGGTTCTTTTTCATTTGCGGAAGACTAGTAGATTTGTAAAGTTCATTAATTATATGCAGACATTCATCAGTGGAGGATTATCGATACTGTATTTTTAATTGTAATCGAACTTTTTTCGAAATAATTCTCGAATAATCAGTAGCCATGCTGGCCTAGGTGACAGCTCGTCTCATGTAATTTTCACTATTGTAAATTTTCACCCCATAAGTTCAGTAAATCTCGTGCGTTAAATATAATACGAGTGGCAAGTAGTGTTCGTGAATCGGCCGAAAAAAATCTCTAGAATTACACGTCAACTACAATTTTTATTATGAAAATTATTGAAAATACGGAATTTCTCCGTACGGATCAATAAAAGTAATCACACAACTTAGAGATTTGCATAATTCGATTATATTCAAGTAAATCAGTTGAATCTATATTGGTAGAGGTGAGGAATTATCCAATGATCCCGCTTAGTGAAACAACAAGGGCATAGAAATATAAATATAAGTCAACATGAGTAAAAGTAGAATTCGCTATGAAAAAAATTCTGCTACTCGCAGCTTAGAATGTGATATCACGCGACCTAGTTATCAAAAATGTCAATAATTTCTATTCAACCACGTGTTTGCCTCTGTTATGAATACCCCCATATATTTCTGTACCGAGATAAGAAAACTACCAGAGTAATTTCAACAGAAATAAAATATCTTAGCTAATTGTTCAGCAGGAAAAGGAACGAAGCGGGTAAAATTACATGCGAATCCGAGGAAGCTTGGAAATATTGAAATGAATATTATATTCTTTGAATGGAGGCAGAACTAATGAATCTTGCATTCAGCTGAATATTGAATAAAAAGATGCAATACTCATTTTTTCTTATCCAAGCTGCCTCAGAAAACTACTTAAGCTTTTTCTACGCAAAACGTGGCTGTTATTTATAAATTACATCCAAGTTTTAGTCAGATGGTTTCCAGTAATGATTAATGAATCAGACGATCACATTCCGAGTTGATACAGTGACATATCTATCACTTGAACATTTTAACTAGGAGTTTAGAATAAACTTTTTTGAAAATAACCATGGCAATGCGAGGCATAAAGTGTATTAATTGAACTAATGAATTTCTAGTCATTTGAATTTGGTTCTCAACTTGGGCACAAAATATTGAGTACAGTAGACTCTGGTTAGAGTCGACTGTTTTGCGGGATAGGGGAAGCGAATTCGGGAAGCGAATTCGGAGCCCGACTTCCGGGAAAACTGGGAACGATAAAATGAAAAATACTATTTCTTTTCTCTCTCAATTCAACACTTCATTTTAATGATAAACTTTAGTTCACAGTTTCAACTATAATAGCAATATTCATATAGATTCAGACGATTTTTTTATTATCAATATTTTAAATTTCATTGACTATATTTGATCACAGAAGCTTTGTACCTAACATTCCATAGAACAGATATTTCTTCTGGAGTTAACGAACCATGTGAATCAAAAATGTTACAGTCGTTTTCTTTACCTCCCTTCATCATTTTATTTAATCCAATTTCGAATTAATTTTATGCCAACAAAACGAGATTCTCCCGCCTTAACAGCCAGAAGTGGACTAAATTTTTTGATCGACAATTCAAATGCAGAATATTTTATTTTTCGTCTTTACTGGAATCGGAAGACGATAGCAATTTGAAGAAAATATTGGAGTGTTTACTCTCCGGCTTGTGTGGGGACAGAGTGGGGGAAGCGCTCGAGCGGCGAGACAAAAAAATTGAGGGGAAGTTCGACACTAACCAATATGCCTCTAACCAGAGTCCACTGTACCAAAAATTATAAATACTTATATTACATGAAGAAGTTTGATGAAATTTTTATCATTATAAATGATATTTCATTTAATAGTCTCAGATATTTTCTATTATTACTAGAATCAGAGTATTTTATCGCTGCTTCTTGTGTACCTACTTTTCTTGTTACTGTTGATCGGTCCCAAAAGTATAATATATCATTAGTCCTGTGACCCTCAAACCTCAAAATGTTTGATAATACAATCTCCTTAAATTGGTAAAATTGTAAATTCAATAATTTGGACCAACATTATATCTTCAAAATTTTAATTAAATTGTATATTGTACAAAGTCAATATAATCGAGCCTATTTATAGCTCCTTGGAAGAATGTGGTACGAAATAAAGCAACATGAAGATTGGATTTTTGAAGGAAAGCATGAGTGTATGGATGGGACATCGAAGTTAACTGTAAAAGTGATGACAAATCTGTTTTTGTGAAATAATCGTATAATATCCATGACCAAATAATACGACCTTATTTCAACCGTGGATCAACTTACTCACCTTGAGAAATTGTAAAAATTCTTCCTGACCAAATTAATTCCGATGAAGTACTTAATATTGGAATAATTTTTTCCATTCATCTGACAAAATCTAGACTGTACTGTACTCGAAAATCAGTAACAATAAATACGTTATATAAGCGGTGTGCATCGCCGAATGATCTTAGTTGTGCTTCTACGAGTGCTCTGGTTTCGAGAATGTTTCATCAATGTTCAATAAATGGCGTCGAAGAGAATATTAAACTCAACATTGTAATACTCTATTCTATAACGAATATAAAAATTCTTGAACGTGTCGCAACGATGACAATCTTTAGTGATAATATGTAAATTGCAACGACAGCTGTGAGACTGATGGTGATCAGATAATGCAGGGAATGGGGAGAATGTCAAAGTGTGAAGAGCATGCAGTCTCTACCCACGAAACTCTCGAAGCTGAAGCAATCGAGTATGTTCAGTGCACTGAAAGAATCAATAATATGATGCGAAGGAAAAATCAATCATATCACCGTAGTTGCCTATATTACTGTCCACCTAGTAGTATATCAACTGAATTGTTGAGCCGCTCATAAAGCGCATTAATTATTTCTTCAATTTTAATTAATTAAAAACGTTAGTCATTTTGAAATTTTTCCTTATCATGGAAAAGAACTCTGTTATTTATCCTTATAGTGAATGAGAGTTGTTTCTTCACCGAAACAAATTATTCATCCTAAATTCTATGTAATCTAATGAACATCAATTCACAGAGTTCTTCTTTATGAGATTATGAAGGTAGAGAGTAGATCGGAAAGGTTAGAAACCATTGTTGAATAATTATGAATTTTATCAATTTTCATTGTCCGACAAATCGAATGTGAAGATCACTTATCGATAATAAATATAATATATCACATGAAACTTGTCCAAATGCGATAATGATATTAAAAATTTCCGAAAGCAAATATATTTTGCAAGTGTCCTTCCAAATATTGTAAACGTGATAGCGCGCTCTGAAGGGTCTATGATACTTTTAAATTTAACGACGATGAAAATAATACTTTCAAAAATAGTAAGTTAAGACGCATGCAGATAAAGGAAAATGAGAGGTCCATCCGTTTGAGGAGACATTTAGGTATCCACGACAGTCTGAAGTCTTCATAATAGATAAATATCATGTTTAGATATCAATAAGTACCGTGGATGGACCAAAGAGTATAAATAATTTATAAATATAAATGATAACTAATATAAAGAATGCTACTATTATTTTAATGAACTATACATACCGAGTAATTTACGCCTGATAATATTGTACATTTGTGAACATCGTTTCATGTTATCCGTAACGAAACACGATTATTATTATTAATAATTATAAACAGCTATCTACAGTTGAATAAATCATATCAATTATCTCGAAATATCTTTGAAGTGATTCTTCTTCTTCTTCAGATTTCATAAATCTGGGGTTCTATTGTGCTTGTTCCTTGACGTAATTCACGGAATAAAGTATAATAATGGACAGTCACGTGAACTCTGTTCTTGCTAGCCGTTGTGTTCTAAGTAATTGTAATTTAAATTTTCGCATATCACATTGCGTGACCTTCAAAATTATTGTATTTTCCTGATCGTTTCGTCGCAAAGAAATGAAACTATCATGTTGTGTAAATTAAAAATCTCGAGTGTCCACCCCGAGGGATTCTTCTCTGCAAAAATCATGAAATTTCAGATGTTATCGAAAATTGAAAAAAAATCAAAAATTTTAAGAAGCAGAAAGACGAAAATTCTTTAAGTTATTTGAATTTTCAATGAAAGCATCCATACTCAGTGCCAAATTACCCCGAATTTTCAAATAATTGGAAATTCAAGATTATGTTTATCGGAATTTTCCGGTTTTCTATCAATTTTCAGGGAATAATTGAACTAAAAATTACAGTTCTCAATGATTTGGCCCCCGAAATCCAGAATTTTTAATGAACAAATGCCTTAAAATTTCTTACGTACTTTTTAGATGAAAAAAATCTTGCTGTAAGTTTGAAATGTCGAAAATATGCTTTCCCCCATTTCTGAAATTTCTATTTATCGGAATTACTATGGAAATTACGGTTGTTTCTAATCACATTCCTGTCGATTCTCATTGTTTTCCACAGTATTTATCATGTTTATTCATACAATAAATGGCAAATGATAACTCAAATTATTATGAAAAAAAGGCCTTAATTTTTTTCAGGGCGTCCATTTTGCACGCCTGGTCCGTTTTGCCCTACCCTTCTCTAACCAAAATTGGTTTATTCAAAAAGGTGCTGGATTTAATAAAAATTTTCCTCCAACGCTTCTCATAAGTGTTATATTTCGATAAATTGAAGGATACAATAAAGGATTCACCAAATTACTGAGAGATATCCGGACATTTCTTATCCATATTTCATTCCTACTACCGTTACGTTTTTATAGGCGCTTTACTTCGTCAACCTTGATCTGTCTCTCCTACTCCTCTCTTCTCATTTTCCCAATTCTTATCTGCGTTACCATGGGCCGTCTTACTCTTTACATGGCTGCACCCCATTCGGGCTAGGACTGACAGGGAAACCATGGAAGACCTCAGTCGTACAGCCGTCCGATATTGCAGAGTCCTATTGTGTCTGCCTCTCATACTGACTAGATAGGTACAGTAGGTCTCTACATTCATGATCAACACCAGCAGCTCCACCCAGGGAGGTAGGGCTAAGCCGACACCTACCCAAGTACTAAGCAGACTAACCGCTGCTTAGCTTGGACGGCCGCCGGAGCCACACGCTACGCGCATGGCCACTACTGTCGCTGATATCCAGATAATTTATTGACAAATGAATCCATGTATACTTGAAAAAGTTCGATAAAGCCCTAGTTATTCATACAGTAGGAATTTAGGATGAATCTTAAACCATGTTTGCTCTGTTATCAGTGTAGCATTTCAGAATCAGGTATCCAGTATCGCAAGGAGTGGGACCCTCTGAAATAATGAGAGGAAGGAACAATATTACAATGGAATCAACAATGGATCCATTACATTAATATCACAATAATTGCGACGAGAACTCACTCAGATCCTTGCACTTCCTCATGACTTCTTCTACCCTCTCGCGCCTCAATACCAAGGCCAATCTCTGACGGGCTGCAGTCTCATTCAGTTTACCATCATCACTCATCTGTAGGACAGACAGATTGATTGAGTGAAATCAATGACCCTTGTCAGTAACAAATGATTAGAGAAGATCAATCTGCAAAGGAAATACAAACCAGGCCCAATCTCTTCATCATACATAGGGCGAAGCAACGGATTGTTGGGTTGTCAGCCCAATCACCCCTATGGGCTCTATCAACCTCAGCTGTAATTATGGTGAAAATTAAGAGGATTACTTGCAGCTCTGAACATTCACTGATACCAGGGATGTATGAGTTTTGGACCCTATCAGGTGCTCGACATGGGTTTTGCAGATTTTCAATAACTACTCAGAGAAAACAATAAGCTGCACTAGATTATTGTCAATTCACGACGTTTCGCTTATAATTCAAGCTTCCTCCGGCTTCTTGACAATTGAGTACATAGTCATATTATTCTCTGAAATATTCCATGTATAATTCTATATATATACATATTATTGTAGCTGTATAAACCTTCTAGGATTATGTAAGCTTAAATTTAAAAAAAAAATTCTATGTTGGGAATTCTAAACGAATTATTAAGTTTATAAAACATTAAAAAATCTGGGACGCAACACTATCAACAAACGGACATATGTAATTTCCTCCAGTCATGAGCTATTAGAGATGTAAGTATTTTAGTATATATTTTTTCGTTGCCATATATACCCTATTCGAGTTTTTACATATTTGTGGTTTCATGGGCCGACTTTCTCTCCAACCATGTCGCATTGTCCCCCAGGAGCTGTACCCCACGTACAGACTCTCCTGGTGACCAAGGGAAACCATGGAAAACCTTGGTCGACACGGACGCCCATCGACCGAGCTTCGTCGGAGAATGTTTTCCCAACAGTTTTCCGATGATTCTCGGTGTCTAGACTTCCGTTCGACGGTTTCCGAAAGATTAAAAATCCCAATTGCCCCAAGCCGGACTTGAACCCACGCCTCACGAATCCCACTGTCCGGCCGAGTGATTTAATCACGTCGGCCACCGTCACCGGATGGAAGTATTCTAGTTAATTAACTATTTTTACCTCTGTCAGCACCTGTCTCTCTTATACAGGCATCTCTATGCTCCCTAAGTCTTTGCCTTTGGGCTTCATTCAACTCTTGGGCCTTTAAAAATAATGGAAGAAAAATTAATTTGACATTCTTATGTGAATCAGACGTTGTTGGACAAATTGACAGTCCATGGATGATTTAGTAGTGATTTCAAAGAACAAGCACATGAAATGCGATTTAGAGGGAAAAATAACAAGATCTCATATTTTACTGCAAATTCGATTAAAATGCAAGGTAAGACGAAAATTTCCCAACTTATATGAATTCAGAATTGATTGAAAATACAAAAATATAATGACCTTAATTTTCATAATTTCCATTAATTTTCATAGAATAGTTGAGTAAAAAAATTGCAGTCTCAATTGATTTTCTATCAAATTGGAAATTTTTAATGATAAATTTCTTAAAAATAATAGTAGAACTACGATTTCGTAGGAATTGCGAAGAAGTGTATGACAAATTTCAGGTAAAATTTTTTCTATATAGAGATTGATGATAATTATTATTTACCAGAGCACCAACGAGACAGACGAAGAATAAAACCACGAGAAATTTCATGGTGACTTTTTGGATTGTTATAGCCTCCAACGAATAGAGCAAGTTGCGAAAGCGTGCTGATTACTGAATATTGTCTCCAGAGAGCTCCGTCTTTATATACGTGCCGGCTGAGCTGGTCGTCTTTTTTCTTATGTTGTGAAGGTCGTGTCAAAAAAGCTAACACAGTGCGGTCGTGCAATGTCTGATCAGTAAACATTGTAATTTTATTCAAAGAAATGAGAAATAAACAGTGGAAAGAAATGTATCAGTCTGTTGAAATGATACATGCAAATATCAACTCAAGATTAAGGAGCTTATTCACAGGTGACATGTAAAATTCATCACCTACGGAAAAAAATAATTTTGAATCGGAGATCGGAAAGTTACCAATTTGGTAATCAGCTGATACGGGTTGTAAGTTATATCATATTCCCAATTCGCCAAAAACATTTCGGACTCGAAACAATTAAGCCTCATACTCTTGGTGTTTGGCTCATACCTTATCCTATGCGGAGAAAAAAGTTGAAGAAAAATTCCCATTCAAACATCCCATTAAACATAGGCAGAATTAACAATTTCAAACAAAGTCAATAGCTAGTAATATTCATCAATTTTAAATTATTAATTTAATCGCTAATTAAATTCCGAATTATTTTATTAATCAATAATTGAGTTCGGAGGATTGATGATTATTTGGCTAATCGAAAATCCCTTTTAAGAAATTTACAAATATTTGCCCAATAGCTATTTTAAAATCCCATATTTTCAATTGTCAAAGTGTCAGATCTTGGATTTTTTTGCCAAAATCGAATTTTTTAGCCGGGTGAACGTTGATTCCAACTATTTAAGCGCCGGGCTAGTCAGAACTGTCAAAAGTATGTGAAAAAAATAAAAACTGAGAAACCGACAACCCCATATTTCAATTATTTAATTCGTAGTTAATTGAAAATTTAAATTATCAATTATTTATCCCTGCTCCCCATCTATGGTAGAAAACAGAGAGATCCAAAGTTATGGGAGGATCAGCGTACACTGGCAAAATTCTTGTTCCTGACTTAAGGACGATATTCTCCTAATCATTCTTAGCGATATCTAAGTTCATCGTCCTTCCGAATAATAGAATTACAGTATTCGACGTCCCGTGGACCAATCAGAAGAGAATTATATCGCTGATTTCCCGTCGTTCGTGATTTTCCCTTTGTCAAATAGAATAACAAAAAAATTGTTGATTGTATCACGATGGCACCGAATACCACAATTCTATTTATTGAAATGGTGAATGGGGAAATAATCCGCCAAATACCCCTCGAGCTTAATAATGAATGGGAGTATTTCCCTCAAACTTGACTGCATACAAACTACTCCGTCAAGATTCGCAGGAAAAATGCATCTCTGATAGGAAAGAGAAAAGGGCCTGGGCCGGTCAAGGCAAACCCGGTGCCGGTCAACATTTGACCACCCCCGGCCAATCTTGTCTCATTCCTCATTCCTTACCAGGACTCGCGTAAGCGCTCGGAATTTTTTCAACGTGCGAAACTTGACAAATTTGTTTGTATGCAACGAAGTTCTCGGAAAATACCCGATCATTTTGAAGCGGTCGGGGTACTATAACTGATAATTGTCTTTAAGCTCCGTTCTCTTATCCAACTAACTGTCAACGATCGAACGAGAAGAAGAACATAACAAGGAATTCACGAAGGAAGTGAAAATGAGATGTTTTGGGAAGAACTATGGGGAAGAAATTGATTTTAAAAAAGATGAGTTCAGTTATATCAGTTAATCATTGAGTACACCCAAAAAAAAGTACTTCTCAGCAGTACCGACCGGTACTTGGAGGAAGTTCACTTTTGAAAAGTTATAAAAATACTCGTCCCAAGTACATTTTGTGTCCTTGGGTGAAGTACCACATTTGCCGATCGAGTAGAAATAGTACTGGGAGGTAGTAGCTTCACTACTTTCGACCAGTGCTTGTAGTACTTTTCACAAGTACCAAAGGTACTAGTGAAAAGTAATTTTTCCACTTCTCTCTAGTCCTTTTAGGACTTAATTTCAATACTTCCAATTGATTACTTTATTGAGAAAAGTGAATATTATTACCGGATAGAATGGGCTTTCTTACGCATTTTTGTAAATAGAAATGTTCAGGTCGGGTGTATGGCCGAGTGGGTAAGGTGTCCACCTACAAAGCCAGAGGTCCTGGGTTCGAAACTCGGCACCGGCGAATTATTTCTGGATTATTTGATTAAGTCAAATAATATAAGGACACCATCAAGTATACGTTGTAACAATGAGAGAAACCCAATGTGTTAAGCATGTTCGAATCATGTAAAAATACAGGACCCACAGTTCCACGTGTTTCGAGAACCTAACTGACTACAATTGATTCTCACCTTCGAAATACTGTCGATACCATCGTAACCTATATAGGCTACAGAGGAAATAGTCGTGAGTTCGAACGACAATAAAGAGTCGCGAACCCGTCGCTAATGACCTAGCTGTCGATGCAACGTTAAACCCCAACAAACAAACAACAACAAGAAATGTTCAGCAGAAGACATTTTGTAGGAAAAAATCAATAGATTGCGATTTTTATGGATGCTTTCGAGAATTATTGGTATCCTTTACGACCTGCAAAATTTCAATTTTGTTGAGGTTTTTATGTTTTATGTTGTTATCAACATTTAAAAGGCCTCGAAAAATTGTGTTCAATTTCTTTTCAATTTTATTACTCACAAAAAGGGAATTATTTGAATTTTTGAATTTTTGACGAAATTCGGTTTTTAGAAGAGGTAGAAAAACATTTTTGAGTTCTTATATTCAACTTATATTGAGGTTATTTGGTACATTTGAAAAGAAGCAGCCAGGTACTAGGTCCAAGTAATTTTTTTACTTGTGCCAAGTAGCAAAAGTACTTGTGACAAGTACTGAGGTACTTCTCATTCTCACCAGTACACAGGTACTTGACGCATGATACTTGCATCAAGTTGTTTTGTAACGTCGAGGAAGTACAAAAATGTGCCTTTTCCCCAGAAACCCCTTGGTACTGGGTACAAGTACTTTGTCTACTGATCAAAGGTTTTTTTTTGGGTATAGGGCAACCAGACCAATAGACAGATGGTTAAGAACAATTTGAGGTCCGTCAAGAGATCAAAAATTGATAAGTCACCTAAATACGTCAACGATGGGTTCTATACCTGAACAAATATGTGAATTATGGGAAAATAAGGGTTTGAAGTGGAAACAATGAAGGATTTATCATAAATGATAAAATGACGGAAAAGTGAGATACAGCCAAAATACCCAATAGACGACTGACCAGAAGATATACGGTGGGTTACCGACAGATAAACAGTCATATTTAATGGCTATTCAAACAAATCCATCATTCTGCATATTTAAAAATCAAAAATAATCTTTTTCGATAATCATAATCAAACAGATGCTGCGTTTATTTGTCCTGGTGACTGTTTTTCCACATTGTTCCGTCAATACTGCGTGACTTGTACCTCGCGAGGATTTGTTTTTTTTTTATGATCAAAATGTTTCTTTTATGATAAAAGAATAAGAAAATCATTGTATGATTATGCATTAGTTTTATTATCAGAAATGGAAATTTGTAATACAATTTCTATTATATTTTTTATGGAAAAAAGGGGGGGAAACAAGAAATTATTCGCTGTAATCCTTTTGATCACCTAACGGTATCATCGATCCCTCTGTTAATTCATGACTCTATAGATAGTTTTATGTGTATATATAATTTAGGCAAATCTATCTTATTTTATTATCCTTTATTTTATATTATAATGGAAATAATACGTCCTATACTTTCGCGCAATTTAACAGCCAGACTGCCCGTATGGCTCTCCTTTGTACAGATTTGTATCTTTGCAAAGTAATGATAATAATATATTAGTGTTATTATTGTTATCATTATTATTATTCAGGAATGAAATTATATTTTTTATGGAACACTAAAAAAATTGAAATCGTCTATCTTTTGGTCGGTGTCTAATTATTAGTCTGGTTACCCTAATCTCATAATAATACAGAATTCTTCGTAACCAGATCCGAACGCCAAAAATCATCCGTCGAAAACTACTCGACGTTCAAAACTCATTGGATATTTCCCCCATGGTTCCTTGTATAGCAACGATCGCGATGAATTTTGTACAAAAGTTCTCCCTCTCGTTGCTACTCAATGAAACATTCGAGAAATATCCAATACCCGAGTCGAATAATTGGACCTGACAAATTCTACTTAGGTCTCTCCGTTCAGAACTGGATAGGTCTTGGGAAGCCTCTTCCCAAGTGCTTCCGAGACCTTTCTACCTCTGGTTATGTCCCACTTCAGCACTTGTTAGGTGTAAGCAGGACTTGCATTCAGACTTTCCAAATCCTTGCCGGTCCCCGTAATTCTATGGGCCTATATTAAATCTGCGTTCATATCCCTATTTACTCATGCGTTATTGAAATAAAAAATGCAATTATTGTTTTTTTTTTAATCTCGAAAATCGACATTTCACGGGAGGGTGGAGGGGAGATGCATGGATGCGGAGGCTTGACATTTTTATCCAACAAGCGGAGAAGGTTGCAGAATCTATTCTAGCCACTCTTGCCCCTCCGCTTACATGCATTGTCCAAATAAAAAAAGAAAGTGTTAACAAATCTGACCTTTCTTCCAAGTAAAAACCGAAAATCTGACCCAGTGGCAGCCGGTGAAAATTTTTTTTTTCAGTTTTCACTTTTTCCACATACTTTGGAGAGTTCTGAATAGTCCGTCGCTTCAATAGTTGGAATCAACGTTCACC